GTAGCCCCTTTTTATGAGAAATAATGGGTCAAAGAATGGACTGTCAACGAGTAGCGTTCGTTTACATTGATTGCATCCCGGTACAGGGAACAGCTCAGCCCTAAGGACGTACTAACCGTTCAGGAAACCTAGAACCCGTTGTACCGGACTATCATTTTGTTTTCTTTCCTCACGTGCACAGAACGCAAGAAGCCTCTGCCGCGGACGTGACACAATAACAAATTTAAAGGGACTATCAAAAATCTCTCGTTCAAATTAAAAAAAAAGAAGATAAAACATTTTACTGTGACAGTAAATTAATTTGATCGATTTTTGACACGATGTAAAATGTGTACAAATAGGTTGCAGATGTTGTGTTTCTTGGACTTGCCGATATCGACGGAAATCTTATCGATAACGATTGTACTGTTCCTCGTCGGAGAGTTTGAAAGAAGGTAAATACGGCGATGTGCATCGACTCGATAAGCGAAAACGAAGAAATATAGGTAAGTAATATGTACAAGATACGTAATAAAGCCTTGTACACAGTGACTGTTTCCGCGATTAATCAGCGAGCAAAAGATTTCTCCGTTTTTGCACGCGTAATCAGAATCTTCTTGTCGTTGGTCGAGGTTTCTTGATGCTGATAGGGGTCTTGAACCTCGACGGCAGTAATTTTCCCCAAAAGAAACGGGGGTGGGACGACCTCGTCTAGACGCATGAACCAACGACCCTTCGAAGAACGGAGGGAGGACAGAAAGCTCTCTGGATGATAACGATTCGGAATCAGTCGAAGCTCGAGCAGTGTTCAGAGCGTTTCAGCAGATCATCGATAGATTAATGAATATGCAGAAGAAAGAAAATATTATCGCGGTTAATGGAATTAACAGGCTGCGTCTGGAAGCCGTGTAATACTGTTAATGCGTTTACAGGAGCGCGTTTCAACTGTAAATTTCACGCTTCGTTGTCTCGTGTATGCAGAAGTTAAGGCTCGCTTCGTCTGACCGTCTTTCGTTACGAAATTCGATGGAGTAGAAATTATTCGCGACGACACGTTTTGAATCATTATTCATTGAACAAATTTTAAACCTTCGACGATTTCCAACGAGTACCACCATGAAAACGCAAAGTCCGTCGTTTATCGTCTTCTGCAGAACCAATGCATAAAGTTTCGCTAGTGTCTTTTGTATTGCGGACTCGCTCGATAATCTTTATCAAGCCACAACAATATTGGTCCATCTTCGTTCGCCTTGTAGTTCACCGCTGCGTATGTGTATACGCGATGGCCGCGAGCTTGAGCTGCTCGGGGCAATTCCGACTATAATAGACGGCATGTGGATCGTGATAATTGATAGTCGTTTAGTGACTAATTCTGGCTATCTGTTTGTTGGCTGACTGCCTTGCAAAAGTTTCCACGATCAGGAACGACACACGGAACTCTTCCGTTCACCGCGGAATCATTATTAGTCATTGTGGTTCTCAAAGGTTCGTTCTTTCGCGTTTCTGTTCCTTTCGGACTAAAAATTTGGAATACCACGACCGATTCGAGGAAATGTCTGGAATGTTGTAAACGTAAAGATCGAATATGGATATCGTTTGTTTTCGAAAATTTCTGTACAGAGGGTTACGAGTAATCTGACTCGCGTTCGATTAAAAACAGGAATCGCAGGGATCCGTGAAAGTAAGTCTGTCCAAATAATTTCTCGATAGCTTGTTTACTGCTTGGTGGATAACAGCGGCGCCAACGGGCCGGTTGTTTTTCTCAGCTGGACCAGCCGGTGCATTCACACTGTGCTGCACCAGAAGCGCATCGCCCTTTCCGTCGGCGTCCCTCGACGTCCCTCGAACGTCCCTCGACGTCGCCACATGCCTGTACCTTGGTCGACTTCAGCCTTTCATCCTCGTATCCCGGTCCCTACCCTTTCAGCTTTACGAAGGTCTTCTCTGGAGCTTCGAACACCAATGAACTCGAAACGCTTCTCGATATTGCTTTGATTGTAACGATGAAAGTCTTGCCACTTTAAAGCTGCTCATTCACTTCATGGAACATCGAAAATTATGATACCCTCCTATTAACAGCTCGAATAAGTTAACTGTGAAACTGCTTGCTCGATAATAGTAATACTTTTTAATTTCTTTTCGTTCGTTTACGGTTACCTTCGATTTTTATCTTCGTAAGGTTATATCTGTGTTCGCAAATTGTACTCGTTGCGTGCGCGGATTTAGAATAACTAATTAGAAGGGGAAACTTTGACAGTATCTGGCACTAACAAGATTTAAGCAACGGCTTATCGGCTGTTCCAGACTACCGTACGACGCGATTAGAAGCGGTATAAAGAAATTTTTTGTCGCGAACTTCAGCTCTGATAACATTCAGGACAACCGATATTTATTTCTCCAAGGATCAGAATGCGAGAGAATCTGTTATTCGTTATCTCGATTTACTCGTGATTCTTGCATATTCTTTTATACGTACAATTTACCATTCAAAGAAATGGTAAGACGAGAAGCTTATAACGATTATCTAACTACAGAATGTTAATGGTATTACGATAAAGACTTAGCAGTCTAAAGAGCAGATTTCTGTAAATATTGCTGAGATACGACGAATCGCATCGTTGATAAATTGTTAAACGTTTGTCAGAATATGTTAAAGCGGCGGTTGCCTCTTAATCCTGATAACGACTCTCAAAGGACTTCGCCAAGGGTTGAACTTTTTGCGCATGACACCCGAGTACGATCACCCTCGTGGAACCCCACAAGCACTCCTTTGCGTTCAAACCCTCGACACACGTGAAAGACCTTCTCTACGCGTATGTTCAAATGTATGAGAGAGCCAGTGCCGCGCACTTCTTTATTCAAATTCTCCATCGCGTTCACACGAGTCGCACTGACTCCGAGATGAAAAGTCAATCTCTCGAATCAAAGCTCACTTTCGAGTTTGAGTGTGTTCCAAAGTCTCCTAAGTAGTTCGTGACAGCTCGTTTTCGGCTTTGAGTGTAGTCTGATCGTTTTTTCGCTCTTTCTTAAACGCGAAGTTACAAAAAATAAGAAGCTGCCTTTGGTGGAAGTTTATAAAGTGTCTGTGGGATACAGAAATGTCTCGAACAGTCTGAAGATCTGCTTGTAAAATCTACCAACTTTTTGATTCTTGAGTACACAGTGCAATCTTATCGATTTATAAAACAAATACAATCAAATCGCGAAAGATTAGAAATCTTCGCAGATGTTCGGAAAAGTTAATGGATTGACCGTTACAGTGAAAATAGACACGTATAGTCAGACACGACGTAATCGTTATTAAAAAGATATGAAACATAATGACGTTCGATCTCCCATCGACAAAGCAAGTACAGCAGAAATCTCGGTCTTTGTTCGAATCGTGAAAAAAGGTTGGGAAGAGTTAACACGCTGATTATCACAGTGAAAATAGACATGTGTAGTCAGACACGATACAATCTCTGTCATAAAGGACATGATTTAACGCAGCTTGCGGCAAGCTATTATTAGCGAAATATTAATGACATTCGAGCCTCTTTCCTGTTCTCAATTATTCAATTGTCAGAAAATTTGAAGGAATCTCGAGATACTCGGTTCTTGGTCGCGTTTCCAGACGTTTCCCTTTGTGTCGCGTTTGGGACTACCAGAAACGTTCCTGGAAGCTGAGCGAATTTTCCAGCGAAGAACTTAGATAGAATTTCCAAGTAAATCTTGGCGTTTTCCATCGAGAAGCGTGCGTTTGTGTCGTTCGAACGTTGAAACGCTCGGTGAAAAGCAGCGAGGAAGCCAATCCGGTTGGTCGCTTTCGCCGCATATGGCGGCGGGCAAAGTTATAAATAATGCCCATCGCCCTCCTGCGTATTCACCTTTACATAATGACCGACTGAAGACGGACGACCGAATCTCGGATCGTATGTCGTGAAAAGAAACGAGAAAAAACCCTATGAAAGCTTGCGTGACGATCATAATATCTGCTCAGGCGATATCTGGATACCCTGCAAGTGCAATTTTCAGCTTCTACGAGTTTCGGTCACCTTCCTCTGCATATTTCCAGGATTCGATCACCTTCGTTATCCTTCGATGAATCGAGCGCCTAGGGATCGCTCGTGGAAGATTTTTCGATACATGTTCTTAGGAAAAATATGACGTGTAGCTCTGCGCGTAACGAAGAGGTTCGCTTTCGTTTGTCGTAACTCACGAAGAAACGGTAAGGAAGGATACGATGACGTGCGTCGATTTCCATCGCGAACGTGATAGATCCGGAGAGCAAAGTTCGTTTCTTCGACAAAGATATCGCGAAAAAGGTGTGCTCGTGGCTGGTTCGAAGCATGAACCGCGTGTTTAAGATCAACGATAGCGGTACTCGTGCGCGAATCGTTCCAGTTTTCATTCCCCGGAGAGCAGGTCTCGAAAATGTCGACGATCCTGTTGCAGTGCGTTGGACATTGCTTCCACAGAAGGAGAATGCGTACAGGTTCGTGTCCGTGCTAGTTTCCAACGAAAAAGCTTGTTTCTAGAACGCACTCGGCAGGTTTTCTAAGCGTTCAGACGCTTTGTACCAAAGTGGATCACAAGTACCTTTTGCTGTTCAGACGTTAAGAAAAATACTCGATAGGATCGCCAGCTCAGGCGATCATTTTTATTTTGTCTAGCATAATTATAATTTTAAACATTCGAGATTAGGATCTTACATTAACTCACGCGTATCTTTGCGCGAGATTAATATGTATTTATACGCAAGCTTATTAATTATTAAACAATATGGTAAAATCGAATATGTATTTGTAATCTAAGTTCAGGTGTAAAGTATGATACACCTTTCTTAGAATTTTAAAGTACGTGCACGGATATGTGAGTCACTGTACTATAGAGCACCATTCTATTCTAATATGTGGACTGTTCGTTCTTTACGAAGTGAGAGGAGGTTTTGGAATAAGAGAATAACTCTGTCATCTCGTTCTTCTCTTGAACTTACGAAATGTTGAACGATTAAAAAATATTGTAACCTGTTATCGTTGCAGGTATGCACTGCCTAGGTGCGGTGACAGGAGGCATTCCCAGCCCAAATGGGGTTGGTGGTCGGGGTGGCATTCTCAGCGTGTTCCGAGCCCTTGGAGTCCTTGTGTGCGAAGGGAGGATTCAGGGCCCTCCACGTGGTTACAAAGAGGGCCCACACTGTGCAGCTCCTATGCAACCAGCTCCCAACAACCACGTATGCGAGGAAGATAATTATCTGGTGAGTTGATCGTTCTAATCGTGGAGTTTACGACTTTTATTATTTCGTTTAATCGTACTTAATCAAGGTATTGCAGAGGTTTCGCATGAAGTAAACGCTGATAATGTTAAAAACTAAATGTTTCTTAAAAACCATGTTGTCTGTACAGTGCAATCGGTATCTTGTGCTGGTCCGAGAGATCGCAGACCGTATCGCAATCGGTTCGTCCTTGTGCATCGAAGTAGTGTTGTGCAGCGATTGTCCATGTGGTTTGGCAAAGGCTACGAACCAGAATCCGATCTACCCCGTACCGTCCTTATCGATCTCACCATGGCAACAAGCGTCGGAGATGCTGCTCGAGTATTGGTGTATCTGTGCCGTTCCCAGCAAGTGAGTATCGCCGATGACTTTACGAAATTTACAAATTTTTTAACAAAAGTTCAAAGGGTTACTAACGAAAGCGTCCATCGATATAGGAGTCCAGAGACCATGAACTTCTATGGAGTGTATCAGGCAGTCCGTTCCCGGCTTCACTTCAGTCAGGTGGCTGCTTGGTGGTCCAGGAGCAAAGGCGTTGAACCATGTTACATCGCGACAAGAGTGGTGCCGCATAACGACGAGAATCTTAGAAAGTTCCGGGATGCACCTGTGGAACACACGTTCCCTTTGGCTGGCAATGGCGATGGAAATTCTATAAAGGTAACGAACCTCGTCTCCGTTTCTTCTTGGTCTTCCGTTCAAATCCAGAACACGTTGTTATCGATCCGAAGACTAATTCCATTTATGTATTGTTGCGAGGGGTGATAACGAATCACCATGGGACAAATAGTTGTTCGAACCAATAGAGACACTATACTTTACTTAAAGTACTACAGTGGTACAACACTTTGTTTACAAATACTTTCGGCCAATTTTCTGTCGTTCGTAATACTTCAAAGACCCTATCGTACCTCGTTTAGATCGATATCTGTTCACTCTCCTTTTTGAAGTGTGTAAAAAAGGTGTTGGACCAAAGAGAAGACGTGGTTCGACCCCAGGATTCACCACCAAGCAACATGTTTTCACGTTGAGCACACGAAACGACTTGGTTTGACTCGCGATTAAGGCGAGAAGAGGTCAATGTTCCTTGAACCGTTCATGCAATTTGCACGGTGGTTCTCGTCCACGTACTCTCTGAGTGTGTACCTTCCACGGTTCTATTCTGGTGGTCGAGGACACTAACGAATGCCTACTTTTAACCGGCAGATATGAGTCATCGGCTACCCAATCTCGTTCGACTGTACCGTGACTGCATTTAATGGAGCTGAAGAGGATTTCTCGTGTAAATTTTAGGTCACCGTGTGGGCACAGCCGCGGATGGAGGAGGTGCCGATTCTCACCTGTCCGCTGCACCCGATCAAAGAGAAAGACGAAGAGGGCGTCGCGAGGGCTTTAACACCGACCAAGGCTATCCCGGTTCCCGGCGCTACGCAAAATCCCGAAGGCCTCCTTTTGCCTGGTAAATCACGGGAATTGGAATCGATGAACGTGATATTTCGTCGTTCGAGTATCACCTTCAGAACCCATTTTACGTTCACTTTGGTACTGACTGATCTATCATTATTTTTATTTTTTTTTCTTATCCTACAAACAAACAACAAATGTATCTACAAGACTCGTTATCACTTTTTGCTTCCATTATTTATCATATATATACCTGTCTATCTTGTTGATATTGTGGCTCTACCTCCGATCCTAATCGTTCCATGAATTCTGTCCTCACAGCAACCGCCATGGTATTTGAAACGTTTGAAGTTGACAAGTTATCGAAGCTGATGCTCGAAAACAGTCTTCTATCTAACAGAATTCATTTTGGACATGTCGCGAAACAAAACTTTGCTTTTTTAAAACAGCTTTGGTGGACGACAGACTGCAGACGCCATGCAACAAGCCAGGAAAGCATCACTGCCCCTGCGAGGAAGAAGACGTGCCACCGCCATCGGCTACGATTCCGCGACAAATTCGCGAGAAGAAACGTCGTCGATCTCTTCCGTGTGGTCCCGTGGACGCGAACAGCTGCGTGTCGGTTCAGCCGATGCCATCGGTGCAGGAAACGGTGATCCAGGAATCGAAGGACAGTCAGAGCTCGAGTTATCCAAAGTGCTCTGTCGAGATCTCGAACAATCGTGGCATCAAGTCTGTCCAAAGTCAAAGCAGTAAGTACGAGGACTGCAGCAGCATCAAGAATCGAAACAATTTGAATTCTGACAACTTGGAGCGGTACTTCAAGACCCAGTTGAACATCGACGAGCGAGAAGGTAACATGGAGAAACGTTACAAAAGGACGATCGAGGATTCTAAGTTGAAGACTGGTTTGAATTGCAACGACAAACAGAGTAACTTGGTGAAGACGGATGTGCAGGGAGCTGGGAGCAAGAAAATCAAAGAAACGGAAACGAAATCAACGGAGAAGAACGGTCTTTTCGAGAATTTGATACCGTTCAATTCCTCACTGCCTTGGTCTTTCGTAGAATCTTGGAACAACAGTAACGCGAACGGGAAGTGCGCTTTCCAGAGCTTGCGTGGTACAAAGGAGGGTTACTTCAACGATCCGGAAAGAACCTGCAAGCCTCCGGTCTCTAAAGAATCGAATCTCGTGATAAATCCTTTCAGACAACCCAGTCCTTTTCACGAATCAAATCCAGGCCCATCGACGAATAATCGGTTCAAGCAAGATTCCGCTTGCATGGTGCATCAGAGTCGTGCTAGGTCGTCGAACAAGTCGAATCCGAATGCGGTGTCACCTGGACAGGAAGCTCTAGAGTCGACCTTGGATGGCGTCGCGAACAACAAAGGAAAACCCGGGAAGGATTTGAGTCAATTGATATCGAAATTGTCGTTCCCAGATGACAAAGACAAGTCGAAAGAGGAAGGAGGCTTCTTGGATTGGTTTAGCAAGGTTCCTGGAAGAGTCCTAGGCGTCGCGCCAAGTAACGGCTATGCAGAGAACAAGGTCAAAGCGACGAACCTGAAGAGCCAAGAGCAGCCAGGAAACGAAGTCAGATTTAAGAATTGCAATTTGGAGTTGAGTCAGCAAGAGTTCGACGAGGTATTGGCTGTTTTAAGAGCTAGAACTCCGTCGGGTCGTAAGAGGACCAGCGTCAGGACCGTCAAAAGGCGAGATAGATCGGACAAGTCGATCGAGGACGGATCAGAGAAGTCCACGATAAAGTATACGAATTTGGAGAACAGCGAGTGCTCGACGAACAATATGGTCAATCGTACGAAAGCTTGCAAAGGTTGTAGTCACAAATTGTGTCGAAAGAATGACCAACAAGCATTACAAAAGACCAATTTCAGCGAGATTTATGGCAATAAAAATATTTACGATCCGTCGCAGAAACGCGAGAAACTCGACGATAATGGATCGGTCGATGAGCTGCAGGCGATCAAATGCAATAATTCGGAGAAACGAACAAACGACACCATGGACTGTTTACAAAACGTCTCGAACAAAGCGGACATACTATTGGGAGCAATCTTACGAACTAGTAAAGATCGAAGGAACCCCTCGGAGGTTCCTAGTGGGACCAAACCTAGGTCCGTGTTGCCAGCACTCGCCAATCAAACGGAGAAGAACGATCGTAACAATCTAGGCTGCGAGAAGATGTGTCAAGAGCAGAGAACCGTACCGTTGGAAGACGAGAAATCTCTGCCAATGGCATTGAACAAGAGATTCAATCGGTTTCGGCAGCTGTTTAAGAAGGAACAAGAGAAGAAAGTGTTTTCGACCACGGAGGACAGTTCGCAGGAAACGAGTCAGCAGTTAGGTCAACGTTCGTTCTCGTACAACAACGTCCAGCCGAGCCTGCACGATCCAAAGAATCTGAGGGACAGTAAAGCGAAACGTAGGATAGATTTCTCGAATTTCGCGGAAGAAACGGAGAAACGTGACGCGTGGCTCGATCCTTCAGACCTTAGTACAAATGGCGCACATCAAAACTCAAAAACCTATAGTACAAATTACAAGGACGACCTCTGCGGCTATTACGAGCACGAGTTATCGAAATGGCCCAACAGACTGCACAGTACAAACGAAGAAAACGACGATACAGTCGAGCTCGAAGAAGAGGACGATGGTAGCAACCTGTCGAAGCTACGCAAGGATTCTGTTTCGACCGCAGGGAAGAACAACGGTTATTTGTCTTCCAAGCTACGAAACGGCGTACATGGAAAAGGTGATTCGCTTTCGGACGAAGAGGAAACTCTTGATAAAGCGGTGCCCACAGCCATTGAGCAAGAAAGATTCCGACGATCGTTGGAGAATGCAGCTTCGATGGTGTTCCATAGTAGGACCGGATTGCCATTGACTTCTAGCCCGGCACCATTGAGAAGAGGCAGCTGTTGCTTCGATTACGATAGCAGTTTAAACTCGGTCTCCTCGAAGAGAAGGTACGAAACATTTATTATCATTTTGTAATTTTTTACATTTGGTTTCAAGGTAGAATTCTTATGAAACTGGCTTTGTCGTTGCAGTGCACTGTTCGAATTGAACACTCCGCCAAGTCCAGGCGCGGTGTCGTTGGAAGAAACCGACAGAGAGACCGAGAATGCTGGCGAAGGCGAGGAGACACCGAAAAGACGCTCCTCTTCTCGTAGTAGGCCGCAGAGTCATGCCCTTTTAGGCAGCTTCGAGGAATCAGCTTTAAACGGTAGACTCGAGCCCGTGTCCACGGTTCATGGTTTCACGGCAGAGCTCGGGGCTAGTGGTTCCTTTTGTCCAAAACATCGAAAGCTTCCAGTCACTGTGTTCTTCTACACTCTTGGTGACAACGATAAAGTTTCTACGCCCTATCTCGTACGTACCACTTATCTTTTTCTTATTCATTGTCTTTTGTCAAATCTGTTTAAACGGCAAATTGTGAGCGTCAAATTATCCTTAAGACTATTCTATAACGATACATCGATGAAACGAACGATGTAATTTTTGCGTAGGCACACATTAATTTGGGCAAAAAGGGCTACCAGGTACCAAGAAGCGGTACTATACAAGTAACGCTTCTCAATCCTTTGGGTACAGTCGTTAAGATGTTCGTAGTACTATACGATCTTTCTGATATGCCGCCACGATCTCATACTTTTTTACGTCAGAGAACACTGCGGGACAAAACGCTACGCTACCTCGTACATCTTAGGTGCGTACATCTCTATTTCTATTTCCGAACAACTTCAGTTTTGTCCACTTTTGTGTTTTGCATATTCCGAAATATCCCTGGCTAGAAGAGAACCTTAATTCCTGGTTAAATAGATGTCCCGGGGTGTGTTAAAACCAGCCGTCTCGTTTCAGATTTATGTCCGGTAAATCAGGTCGGATCTACTTGCACACGGACATCCGTATGATTATTTGTCGTAAGTCCGACGTCGACACAGCGTCGGATTTCGGATCAGAGCCACCAAAGGAACTCCGCAGCTACATCCACGGTCCTACCAACCCGAAATTCTCGCCAAGGTGCTGAGCCACGTGGCTCTTTCCATGGGGTTGTTGTCAATCGCTCCGTTCACCTAGTCCCCTTCGCGCAGAGGTTTAACGAAGATGGAAACGAGTGGACGTTAATCTTCAGAGTCTTTAAGCACGATTCTTGCGAAGAAAGAATACGTTTGAAACTGAGATTCCATTGATTCTCGATGCAATATTTAGAAAGAACGAATTTTTACGAAGAAATGATCCTTTATTCAAGAACGATTGTCGAAATGAATTTAATGGAATACCTTTGTGGAAATTGAATATGAAAATGAACGTGAACCGAGAAAGATTTTTCAATGTCAATAAGGTTATCTTTTGCAAATGCATGATCGTATTTTAAGAGGATTTTCGCGAAGAACATTGAAGGGAGATATAAGTGATCGGAGGAATAAAGTTTGAAAAGAAAACATTGTTTCTCTTGAAGGAAATGTTTGAAAAGAGTATTGAGAAAGGTACACTAAAGGGAACATTGAATAACTTCATGTTTTGTTGTTTAGTTCTTGTTTTGTTTGATTCATCAGTGATTTTTAATCGTATTACAAAGAACACGCACGTTAGCGTTAGCTTATCCCCATTGTTTCTTTGAATTTTGTTTGGTTGTTGATCAAAATTGTTAATCGAAGTAAAGTATGTCCTTTCGTTTACTCGATATTTTTGAACGGGTGCGGTGTTTTAGTTTTCCGGCGTAGCTTTTGTGTATAACGAAAGCTCGCGCCAGAAGAGTTCTTGTCTTTCAACTTTCGCGCGCTTGAACGTTTATTTCAGTGACGCGTTTTTTAAAACAGGTTTCTAGCTTGCCAAACTTCGTGGATTTAAAAGCTGGAAGATCTCCTTTGGAAGGCCATCTTTCTGTATCTATTGTTGTAAATATAAGAGTCACGTGTAAAGTCGAATAAGAATTTTTTTAACGGGATGATGATATTGTCATGTGTGTGTAGTACACTATGTTATTAAAGATAAAAAAAAAGCATAAAGAAAAACGAAGGAAGTGAGAAGCGATCCGAGAGCATAGAAAATATCAAGAATCGGGTCTCTCGTTGACACGAAAGAATGAAGGAATCCTGAAACTGTGTTGTACAAAACCACCCCCACACCCCCTCCAACAAAGAGAGAAAGAGAAATATGTGATCTAGAAAATCGTTTAAAGTGTAATTTAAAATAGATACGATTTATCGATTCGTTGATATTTTCAGAGAAGAAAGAAAATTGAAAGACGATGAGAAGATGCATCGTTTATTTTATTAAGAAAATGAAAGGGAGAAAAAAAATGGTAGGAACATGCTTTCGTATGAAATGTTTGCGATCAACGAGATGGCTGGATTACGCGACATTTCCTGCTCGAAGTAAAGGAGAAAAAAAAGAAAAGAAACAAAAAAAGGATCATTATTTACACGTATAAAACAGAACACAATTTTTTGTGTCCGTAGCACTGTGATGAATATTTTGATAGACTACAAAGAGTAATTATTATAAAGTATCTATTTGAGTAGCGACTATGTCCTAGATTATAATTCATAATTGTACTAATGTCGTATGAGGAATGTAATCGAGCGTAATTTACTAACCGTTCAAATTACACGTAAATTATCCGCAGTCACCGTGAGGCGCTCCATTATATTGTTGTCTCTTCGTATCGAACGACGGTTCGTTTCCCTTATTTTTCTACGCGCGTGATAAAAACAAAAAACTGGCCCGAACAATCTACTTGGATTTCTTAGTTGATCCGTAGTGTTTCAAGATTTTCCGATATAATAAAAGTTAGCCATAGTCGCAAGAAAAGTAACTCGAATTTTACCTGAACAAAGATCTTTGCTTTCAGTGATGTTGACCCTCGAAAGGTGGAGCTGATTCTCTATTGAACCAGACCAACGAAAGATATTTAACGGTACCTCGTATATTGAAAAAGTGACGGTCTAACAAATTTCAAAATCAAATTCATAAATTGCTTCCGCTTTAGCAGCTTGCCATTCGAAGGTTAATTGATCACACACATTAATTAGCATATGACTAGCAAATTTCTGCTTCTTCTTTTAGTTATTTTAAACTTGATAAATTTAGGTGAATTTTTGAGGGTTCACTATGTTCGCTTCTGATAAAATTGATTTTGATGGCGCAGGTGTTATTTGACTTGCCAACAAAATTTTGCCCTTCTAACGCGATGTACTATGAGAGATGTGGAGTATATTGTAAACGAAACATGCCAAGTTCGTAGCTAAGTAGACACGACGAGCACGTTGTTGTTCGATCTGCGCCGATAATTTTACTCGAGTCGCACGAGACATAGCTGAAACAAGTCAGAATTAATTCATTGATCGAAAAGGAAGATGTTGTAAACAATCGATAGCAACACGATTGTTTACGAACCTATATCGACTCTTTGACGGCTGATATTTTGCGTAAGGAATCTTTGATCCGCGTTGTTCTTTTAGTCTCTGCGTTTATGTTATTTGTGTGCATAATTTGGAAATGAACGATTTTGTAATGTACGTATATTTGGTAAATTTTTTAAGTAAAACCTTGATGCCACTGTCTCTTGTACTTGTGATACTCGTCACATTTTACATTATCGTGTGCTAATTATGCTTTATGTATATTATTTTGTTGATAAAAGATTCTGTGAAATGTGCAGTCGTCAAGGTGTTAAGCAGTTTCAACGTTGCAAAATTTTTGTAGCACGTGTATTGTACGGCAAGGATATGTAGAGTGTATAATCACTGCCATGCTGTATATACATTGTAGTATAGGTGAACCGTTGAATAAGAATTTAAGGGAATTTTAGCAATAGTTGGTTGCCTGAATGAAGAGATCCCATTGACCAGAAAACAAAAGGCAAAAGCAAAGAGCGAGATCCGTGGAAAAATTTCGGATCATTTTTATTACATTATTTAAGTTAGTACATCGATATGATTCTTTTGTTCAAAGTCGATAGATCTGTCGGATCTCGCTCGAGGATCATACACCAATTCTAATAGCGTATTTTCCAAAGATCACCGTAAAAAGAAATCGCTTGATAGCTTTAAAACTCTCCACGATACGCGTGTAATTAATTTTCATACGACGAAAATCGAACAAGAAAACACGTGCAATTCAATATTAGAGTTTCTTTTTGGAAATTCGTGCCGATACGAAGATGAACGAGATTGTATTTTTGGAATCTACAATCGAGATACACGAATTGTATTGTACACTAAACTTGTAGGACGCGCACTAAGAAACTTTATTATTGTGATAAACTTTTATCGGGTATAGAGGTCCGTGTATTGTCTTTGAAATCGAACGCATATTCTTGTTGCTGGAAAAAAGGGAGACGAGTTATAATTCGATGGTGCCAAACTCGAAACGAAGAAGAACAATGAAGGGCTTTGGGAAAGGCTCATGTAACGTACATACACGTTTGGAATTTAGTCCCAAAATTAATTCGATCAATATTTTTTAAACAATTTCATTTAATTTTTAACGATTCGTTTTAACATTCTACTCGCGGTTGTTTTCGATTTCTTGTTTTAAAGATTGATAAAGTAGTTGTTCGACAGTAATTCTGTTCGTTGTTTTTCATGCTTCCCTATCGTCCATTGCTTCTGTTTCGATACACTTGAATCGGCTACAACCTGATTTCTGTAAATTGTCATCGATTGGTCAGACGTTAAGATAGAACAGAGAATCACGATTCTGTAATAACGTTGTCCAATCGACGATAATTATATGCCAACACCTGTCAATGTTTAGCTATGGCTACTGAACGTTTTGTTGAATCACCTGGGCACACTTGATAAACGTCAGGCATGTACATAAGGTAGCGTTATTTTACAAACGAAAATTATCGTTATCGCTATATAACACGTACTTTTTATTATTTAGCGAGCAAAGCGTGCGGTAAAAGAGAAAAGGAACAATTTGTCGAACGATTCAATACTTATATGGGTACGCGCATGGCCAAACGTAATAAAAATACAGCAATGCGTTAATAAATACTAGTGTATGTTTAATTGATGGATGAGATAGATCCATTGAAGCCTTTCAATGTGTTTCAGTAATAATGGATTAAAGAATTTTATTTTGAATCTCTTCTCGAATTCGTTCATGTATTGTGGTTTAGTGTTCGATGTGTTTCATTTTTAATGTTTATTTTTTACAAACCCCTCTCCTTTCACTACCAAAAAATTTAATTCGACGATGGAATTTAGACAGAAAGATAAGACCTTTCGTCGCGTAATACGTTTATTAACAATGTCTTCAAGAATTCGCTGAGCGCAACGCGCGCGAATATTTTCTACAGTCTGTAATTAACAGCTAAAAGTTGTCGCCTCTAACGAATATAATATTTGCTCTGATTTTTCTACAAATTTAAGATTATATATACAGGGAACATACAGAGTACATCTGCAACTACATCGTGAATATCATTCGCGAGAAAGAATTATATGTAACATTCGCGAAATGATATACACTTATGCCTTTCATTTCATTAAAAAAAAAAATTCGCGAGATTCTCTATTCGTTCATTCCGTTCTCACTGTGGTAGTTGCGTTTGTCTGAATAATAAATTTATCGCATACAAACTTTTGTCCACGTAATCTTACAAACTGTAAATGAACAGACGATTCGTAAGAATTTATTGACCCGTTCGCGACGTATAAAATACTTTTCAGGAAAGCGACAGAGACAAATTCTCGCGTCTCTACAGCCTTCTCGTACAGGTAATTAAGTTACTAATTTCTATTTTTACGAGATTAAAAACGTAACAGATTCAAAATTCGTCTACCTACATTCAAACTCTATATTCACGCATCGAATCACAGTCCATGTTTTATATCAATCTTTTTTCCTATAAAAATTCTTCAGGTGCTTAGAAAACTCCGCTTTATTATCGATCACGAATTTCATCTAAACGTTCGTTTGCACGGTTTCTTACTCGAACGAAAAGAAAATATTTCGGAATTAATTACGCGATTAAAGCGTCGACTTAGAAAAAAAAGAACATACAACATATATATATACGTATATAAAAAACAGAAAAGAACGATTTCTGTAGAGTAACTAGGTAAGCCTCTAGACTTAATTACTTGAATTACGAAATGATATTATACAATATTCGCGCGAAAAAAGAAACAAAGTTTTACAAAATATCCGCGAGCTATCTGGATGCTCGAACGTCGTACGATTTCTTTCGTTATAAAGAACACAATATGTAAACAAGACAAAAGAATAAATGTATGTACGCAGTGCAGTCGAATACGAAGTTTCAGTTATCGTGATATGTAGAGCGTCGTAACCGCGTGTACAACATTTCTGACTGACATCAACCTCGTTACGGTCAGTCCTCTACAATTTTTGTGACAAACGCGAACTCGATAACCGGTGGTTTCGATCATAGATTGCTCTCGTTTCTCTACGTTCCACGGGCCAGAAGTCGCCGAACTTTTTCCGACCTATCTGCAACCGAAGCAGTTGTTCCGATTAGTAACCCTGTCAAACGTGAATGTTTCTTAGAATACTGGTACACTGATAAATACGTAAAGTAGTGATCGATATGCACGTTCGCTTACTTCTCTAATTTTTGGTCCATCAAGACGGAATTTCGCTAGCAGTACCTGGCTTCCATTCCTCGTGGAAGTGTGTGCCCTTGAACGTGGCTCATACGCAATTGCCTTGTGGCCATCCCACCACCGCACTGACTGCTCCAATCGGTACTCGATACTGCGGTTCGATAGAACTTGGACGAGGTCTTGTTGAAGATTGGCAGCAATTCGTTGGCTTCGTTCGATAAAGCCTGTCGAGTTTCAATTCGTGTTAGCAAAATCAACAGGCGAACCGTTGTACGGTGGACAAATGAGCAGCGAGTGCAGAACGTAACGATACCGTATTATCCGACATTATGTAATCAAATACTAGATTCTTGCCTTGAGATATATGATGGCGTCAGTACCATAACCGTCGCAACTTTGAAGGACGAGATCACCGTGGAAATATCTGGCATACAACCGAGAAACTGGAAGACCGTAACCATATCCGGCTAATGGAACCGTGTGGTCGTCCGATTTGCTTGGTCGAGGCGCTGTGCTGTACATGTACTTGAACAAGTGGTCCATTTGCGAACGAGGGATACCACCGCCTCGATCAGACATCTGCAAGAAATTTTAGTACGGCGGTTAATCTTGCTTGAATTTTCTCAAAAGGGAAACACCGTTCTCTAGCTACTTGAAGTTTCCGCATGTAAGCTGTATGGAAATTAAGTTTGATGTTTCGATAACGTTCTTGCTAAGGAGCACGGTGTTGAATAACTAACGCATTGATATCGAATACCAATGTTTCATAACGACAGGCACGAATTCCATCGATGTTAATTGATAACCGTTGACGCCCCGGGCGACAACCAACCAAAATGTGAAAATTCGTGGATCTTTACCTTTACGCAAATGTCTTCTTTTCCACGAGATACGATCACTTCGATCGGTGGATATTCGTAACTGGAGTTAGTTTGTTCCATCACTGCTCGCATGCTGTTTTTGAACAGCTCGAACAACATATGAAACAAGTGACTCGGTACGTAAACTATTCTAATTTGGCTACATCGGTCCTGCTCTGAAAAGGAAAGGAACGAAATACAATGAGACAAGCAGCTCTTTACAGTCTTGTAAACGATATTTTATACGAGGACTACGTTTATCGCTTTTCATCGTTTATCGAGAATGCCTCGATGAAAAATTTTGCAATGTCGTTTGCTAACGATTATAGAATTTAAGGGATTCGTACTGACTACTTCGAGCTAATACCTACTACAAATAATTGTTTATATCATACTACTTACTAGCAAAATTCTAGTACAATCAACATTTTTCAAACTTGCCGTTATGTTGTTTGACTATCAATTCCGGACACGCTAGATAATATTGGTCACAGAGTAACCTCGCTTTCTCGTACGCGTCTTTCACAACGCTGATAATATCACAAGATGGGTCTATAGAGCCCACGTGTGTACTGTGGCCATTCAACTCACTGCCAAATAGGAGAGCTGCAAGAAACGATCGTTTTTTAAGCTTATAAGACTCTGATGAGTAGTCGTTTTTGCGTAGAAATTAAATAAATGAACCTACTGTGTTGATTGATCAGCATACGAATTGAGATTCGAGACATCAGGAATCGGTCCAAGAAATACTGAATGTTGTGTTCCGTTTGAGCATCGACGTCGTACGATTCTTTGAGTTCCAGTACACCTTGAGCCATCGTCTCAACGATATCCTTGTGTCTGTTTCGGATTTTGACCAGAGTTTGACAGAATCTATGAGTAAAACACAGATGCATCGTTTAGCCAGGTGACAACTTACTAAATAGAGGATGTTAATTACACTTGTTCGAACATCTAAGAATGGTCAGTGTTAATGAACGGAACAGTAGACCGTTCAAGACCGTTTAAACTCACTTGTCCAAAGTAGTCTCGTTGACTTCGACCTTCTCAAACTGCATGATATCCTCGAACGATGTGGCGTATAAATTATTTATTATGCCCACACTAGGCGTTTTCAGTAAGTTGTCCGGCAGCAGGTGGATCTCTTTCATAATGTTAGCCAGTCGGACAGGCAGTTCCTTCCTTAAAAATATAAAGGACTTCCTTTCGCAAGCGCTCAGACCTGAAACATATAATTTTCATATTAACTGCGAGCGAACAGCACTAATTTTCGAAACAATTACGCTCCGTCTAATCGCTAAATGCCCCGTGTTTGGCAAACTACCGATAAGAAAAGACGATGATTAATAATCATGCGAGATATTCGTCGAATCTAGTTTTCGTTTCATTGCTTTCTTCCCGGTCATTGGCCCAGGTTCATGAATATTTTTTGTTCCCTTAATCTATCGTAGCTCAGGTTATCCATTGATATGCCTTGTTTTTATGTCTCGCCCGATAACAGAAGCACGCGAATATTGAGAAGAAAAATCGCAAGACTCTCGAACGATCTTATCGGTGACGATTTAAAGCCCCTATAAACAACGACTTTGTTTTGATGGGTGGAAGAAACGCCAAACAACCAGCTTCACAAATAAGACATTGTTGCGCAAGGTTGTTTTTGCGGCAAATGAGGAAATAATTTTTCGAAGATTCTATCTTTTCACGCGACACGCACGTGTTACGGTATATTTTTGAGAAAGGAGTTCAAGGTTCGTTTTCGAGACGATCATTTTTTCTAGACAATCACTTTCGAGTGAAGATATTCCGATTGTTTCGAATAATTTATCGGACATCAAAAGGTATAAATTAGAAAACAACATTTCAGATTGGGAGACATATGTTTTTTGTAATCTTTTATTTTATAGGCTCCAAGTAGGTCAAAGACGTACTTACGCCTACGAGCCTATGGCATTCTCTGTTTATCACGTCCCCACCATACATTTCGATGGTAGGCGCGACCCTGGTTAGATTGATACCGTTTTATCAGTCCTCTTGGGATGGACAGTATGTTTACGTTGGCCTTACATCAACGTGCCAGTACTGCCGAGCTTCTAGTTAAAGGGAGTTATTAAAGTTTGATCGATCGATAGGTGGACATAATTCTAAATCGATTTAGAAGTCTTCAAAGCCTATTCACGAGGTTAATTTTACGAGGGTTTAATCTAAATTTTATTGCATTGAAATATTCGCAGTAGAAACGACAACGAATAGTCAGACACATGTGATAACGACCCTTAAATACTGACATTATTCTATTTCCGAACCCAAGGTTGTCCAGACTGTTATGTCACATTCGGTGGAACCGGGTTAGTCGCGACCCAAATAAGTTATTACCAATTTATTCTCCAAAGCAACGTATATCGAGCAGAGGATTAAGTAAAGGGTTGAATAGACTCGTAATATCGCTTGCACCCTATTTCCGAAATTCAATGAAACGTTATTGCATGACGTCTGTAAAATGTTCGCGAATCAATAGGCACCGTCTATCGTCGGTAAAACGTACTGACCTAGTTAACGCGACTGTTGTTAAACAATATCGATAATT